TAATACAAATATTTTAATTTTATAATTTATTTTGTTTATAATGTAAAATCCAATTTTAATTTTTATCTCATAAAATTAAAATTTAGTTGTAATTATATATTCAATTAATATTAATATTAAAAATAATGCATGATATATGAAATTCTTTATTTCTTTACAAACTTTTGATTTTTTTTAACTTATAATTTATTAAAACATAATTATTTATTAGTCTAATAAGTTATATATAATATATTGCTCATGATATTTGATATATGACACTTATAATGTTAGAATAAATAATTATATTATTAGTACCGGTATATAAATTTTATTAATATTTTTAAAACTACTGTACAATAAAGAAATTAATAAATTAAAATATGCTTTTCCAAATAAATTTCCTAATGTCAATTAGAAAGTTAATTCAAATTATATTATTTTTAAAATATGTATGTTTTAATTTTAAATTTTGTTTAAATGTAATGTAACAAAAATATTGTCATTTACTTTGTAGCCATCACTACGTCTGGCCATAAAAGATGAAACTAAGAAATGGATGAACCGAAAGGTTCCTTACGTTATATCCGACACTTTCTCAGCTAATAATAAAGCCTTAATATCAAGTGCTATGAAAAACTTCGCAAATAATACTTGTATTGTGTTTGAGATGAGAAGACCACAAGATGTGGATTATGTTTTGATAACAGGAGGTCAAGGATGCAATTCACCGGTTGGTCGTCAGGGAGGGGCTCAAAATGTGACATTGGGTGAGGGATGCCTTTATTTGCATACAATTCTTCATGAATTGATGCATTCAATTGGCTTTTTTCACGAACACCAACGCTATGATAGAGACAACTATATTGTGATTCATTGGGAAAACATTAGGAGAGGTATTCATATGTTTTATAATAAATATAACAATTTAAATATTTTATTTATTCAATTGGCTTTCTTCACGAACACCAACGCTATGATAGAGACAACTATATTGTGATTCATTGGGAAAACATTAGGAGAGGTATTCATATGTTTTATAATAAATATAACAATTTAAATATTTTATTAGATATGACTCATATAGTATTTAATAATTAATAATTGATTTGAAAACTTTAACCGATTATTACAATAACAGATGTTGAACATTGACACTCAATTAATATTTTAATATACTTTTTTTAATTACTTATATAATAGAATTTAGGAACTATATAAATTTATTTTATTATTCGAAAATATTTGTTTTAACCAGTAATTACACTGTAATAATTACAGGAATATAATTAGAAATTTTAAAAATATATTTGCATTTTCTAATGTAAAAGATTATTCTGCATTAATCTCCAATGTCTACAAAGTAATGTAAATATAAAATCTGAATTAAATACTTAATTATTATAAGTTTTCTACTTATTTTACATTTTGTATTATAAGTTTATATTTATTTATATAAATAATGTAAAATAAGTCCACTACGTTATAATAATTAAGTATTTAAAATGTTTTAATATTAAACAAAACCCCATTTACTGAAGGTATGGATTATGAGTTCAATAAAATAGGAAGAAACGAATCAACAGATGTAGAGCTTGAATACGACTACAACAGTGTTATGCAATACGAAGGGACGGCTTTCTCCAAGAATGGCAGACCAACTGTAAGTCCATTTATATTATAGTCAATCATTAAAATATTAATTATAAAATTATTTTTTGTTAATACTTGAGATGTCTGCCAAAAACAATTCAATCAAACTGGGCTCAGATTTTGGATTCAGTGAACTCGATATAAAGAGAATGAATACATATTACGGATGCTTTCAAAACAATTCTGATAATAGAGAAACCGTTCGGACAAACGATCATAACTTTAAGTATGTTTGCAATTATAATAACATCACTGGAAAGTAATAAAGTAATAAAAAAAATACATTTAGACTTACTTTTAAAAATTATAGAGCATTTGCAACCATGTTGTATTTCATTTTGTAGTAAAAGTCAAAATGAGATTTTGATTCAAATATAAAAGATTATACAGTATTATATAATAGAGTAGGTTGTATTGACAAAACCAGTCTCAAGTTATACTGGTGTTAATTTATGATTTCTTTTGACAGTTGTTCAAAATTAAAGTGGATTTCGTTTGACTCAACTGTTTCTCAGAATATTCTGGTATTTGGTGGGAATGACTCATTTGGGAACAGATTTTTTGTGTGCAGGGTTATTAATGATATTGAGAAATATACAATACCCGGACATATGTATGAAAGTATGTGTTATGTGGTTCATAGAGGACAAGAATTAGAAGTTACAGAATTTCAAGTATTGACTCATTCTTCAAATGGTTATAAATGGCAACTCATATCACCAAATAAACAATCTTTGCCTCCAAATGCCATTATAGGTGGAGAACAAACATCGGGAAGTGATGGGAGAACTGCTTATATTGGGAGATGTCTTCTTAAATATTTCAACTATATTTCAACAGTTATTGGTGTCTTGAGTTATACTAATGATTCAATCGGTGTATTAAAAGTTCCTTTCAATGGATTAGCAATAAAATGCTTTGAATTCCAAGTATTACTGTGTGCTTAGAATTTAATTATAAATATGCAATAAAATGTACAAATATCTAGTAGTACAGTATTACAAAGAATTATTTATGTTTTAAATGTAAGTCTTAAATAAAATTAATTTTAATCACTCACTTGTACTTTTAATAGAATTTACTTTATTCATTATATTCATATATTAATTATATATTTTTCGTTAACTAAATAATATACTTATGTTTTTAAATAATTGAAACTTGTTATATAGTTAATTAATTATTTTCATGTTGAACTTAAAAAATATATTTATAATAACAGATTAAATGTAAATGTTTATTAAATAGCTTATCATGATTACACACGGATGAGTCCCTCTTCAATACATTTAGACTTCAATGTGAGATAATATTGAAGTCTTTGATCTGCTCTTTGCTATTTAATTAAATAAATAAATAAAGATATTAAACACGAAATTATGAAATAAATATATTCATATATTACCACAAATTGAAGTTTAGTTTTATTGTACGGCATCTCTTCAGTCCGGAGTCCAAACATTATGAAAAACATTTGTTGAAACATAAGAAATACTTTGGCCTCACCTACTAAATGGTCAATTGTGTTGACACTATTATCCCGATAAGTGTCTCCGTTTATTTGAATGCTTTCTTCCAAATAGCTTTTCATAAACCGTTTGAGTACTGAATCAGAGATATTTTCATTTACTTTGTCGACACTAGTTCTGCCCCAGTCTTCAAAAATAGCTCCGAAATCAAAGCCTCGATAAGAATAACACGAATATTCAAAATCACATAAAGTTATATCAAGTGATTGGCTGTTCTTTTCATTGCCTTCTCTGACCATAATATTAGGACCTCTGAAGTCATTGTGCGAGAAGACAATCGGAGAGTTGGTGGCCGTTAGACATGTCTTCAACCAATCGATTTCAGTCTTTAAATCAACGCTCAAAAGAGTGGTTGCCTTCACTTCTATATACATGTCGTTTAACGGAAACAAATCATACGCTTTCTTATAGAAATTATCCAAAAAGTCTGAAAACCATTTGTAGTTTCTGGCGATGGGAACGTCCATCGAGTGAAACCGGGCCAACATTCTTGAGAGTCGGTCCACATATTGATCATTATTTTGCTCTTTCAGACCAAATGAGTGCGACTGTAATATAGATATCGGTTTCGCATTTAGTCTTAAAAAGCCTAAAATTTAGCTTGATCATTTATATTTACGTTCACATATTCTTCAATATTTCCTCCACTAAAGAATGCCCACTGTTTTGGACCCAAATTATGTTTGGCTGCCAACAAGCAGATGACAATATCATTGAACCTCTCATTCCCATCAC